AACCGGAATTGCTATGTAGTGCAATCCGGTGGCAGAGGATGTAATCATTAGCAACATCCAGCTTCCCTAAAGCATCGATAGTGGTGCACTATGGTAGGTAATCCTGAAATAACAGCAACTAGCGGAATCAAAAGAGTAACTTAATAAGAAGAAAGAGAATTAATCTCATAAAGCCAGTGTAATAAATAACACGATTATTAGAGGGAAATGCTTTTGAATTCTGAATTTTACATACGACAGCGAGATTACTTTAAACTTCGAGCTCTTTAACCCCGATGGCAAAAAAATCGATTGTGACTTAATTACTCGGTATATCGTAGTTAGTGTGTTTGTAATTCCTATTTAGGCTTCAAGTGCTTTCGTTCTTGATATGGTATCGGTTTTTATTGACGACATTCAATGAACGAGTGCGAATGAAATCGCTATTATGACTTCGAAATCAGTTCCGGTTCCTCGCTGCAGGTATGAAAATGTTCTGAACCAAAATCAATTTCAATACTCAAATACCTCCTACGGTATCCTATTATCCTGGTACATGAGAGACGTTTTCCTGGTCCCTTGCGTCATTTCTGAAGCAAGGTTTGAATGCCATCTCGTGGCCGCCGCGTCATTCACCACCAGATACAACAATTAGCAGCGAGAAAATGAATTACGTACCAAAATTACATATGAAAGAAATATTCCAATACTTATATATCCGAACGCAATTGATTCCACATTAATTTTATTAATAAAAGAAAGGTAGCAAAATCTTATCGTGCACGTAATTCTAAAATATCTAAATTGTTAGAAGAAGTGAAACTTTTCGGACGATGCAAGCAATGATTTCATTATGTATTGTGGATCTTCTCACTGTATAAATCTCTCAATATATTCCTAACGTTTACCCTCCAAATATTGCATCCGCTAAACTCTTCCGATCAAATATATGAGATGAGAAATTAGCAATCCTCTCCTGAATGACACGTTGTGTATCACCCCACCCACCGGAATTTGTTCTTAGTGCAATCTGGTGGCGGAGAACATAACTATTAGCAACATCCAGCGACCCTACAGCATCGATTGTAGTGCACTCTGGTAGGTAATTCTGAAATAACAGGAACTAGCAGAATCAAAAGAGTGACTTAATACATGGAAAGTGCATCGAGCTCATAGAATAAATATCTCGATTGATATGGGGAAATACTTTTGTATTACAATTTTTACCTAAAACACCGAGATTACTTTAAACTTCGATCTCATTAACACGGATGGCTTAAGTAATATAAAATCGATTGTTTGTTAATTACTGGGTATATCGTAGTTAGTGTGTTTGTAATTCCTATTTAGGCTTCAAGTGCTTTCGTTCTTGATATGGTATCGGTTTTTATTGACGACATTCAATGAACGAGTGCGAATGAAATCGCTATTATGACTTCGAAATCAGTTCCGGTTCCTCGCTGCAGGTATGAAAATGTTCTGAACCAAAATCAATTTCAATACTCAAATACCTCCTACGGTATCCTATTATCCTGGTACATGAGAGACGTTTTCCTGGTCCCTTGCGTCATTTCTGAAGCAAGGTTTGAATGCCATCTCGTGGCCGCCGCGTCATTCACCACCAGATACAACAATTAGCAGCGAGAAAATGAATTACGTACCAAAATTACATATGAAAGAAATATTCCAATACTTATATATCCGAACGCAATTGATTCCACATTAATTTTATTAATAAAAGAAAGGTAGCAAAATCTTATCGTGCACGTAATTCTAAAATATCTAAATTGTTAGAAGAAGTGAAACTTTTCGGACGATGCAAGCAATGATTTCATTATGTATTGTGGATCTTCTCACTGTATAAATCTCTCAATATATTCCTAACGTTTACCCTCCAAATATTGCATCCGCTAAACTCTTCCGATCAAATATATGAGATGAGAAATTAGCAATCCTCTCCTGAATGACACGTTGTGTATCACCCCACCCACCGGAATTTGTTCTTAGTGCAATCTGGTGGCGGAGAACATAACTATTAGCAACATCCAGCGACCCTACAGCATCGATTGTAGTGCACTCTGGTAGGTAATTCTGAAATAACAGGAACTAGCAGAATCAAAAGAGTGACTTAATACATGGAAAGTGCATCGAGCTCATAGAGCTAATGTAATAAATATCACGATTGATATGGGGAAATACTTTTGTATTATAATTTTTACCTAAAACACCGAGATTACTTTAAACTTCGATCTCATTAACACGGATGGCTTAAGTAATATAAAATCGATTGTTTGTTAATTACTGGGTATATCGTAGTTAGTGTTTGTAGTTCCTATTTAAGCTTAAAATGCTTTCGTTCTTGATATGGTATCTTCTTTATTGACGACATTGAATGAACGAGTGCGAATAAAATCGCTATTATGACTTCGAAATCAGTTCCGGTTCCTCGCTGCAAGTATGAAAATGTTCTGAACCAAAATCAATTTGATTACTCAAATACCTCCTACGGTATCCTATTACCCTGGTACACGGCAGACATTTTCCCTGGTTCTTCGTGTTATTTCTGAAGCAAGGTTTAAATGCCATCTCGTGGCCGCCGCGTCATTCACCACCAGATACATCATTTAGCAGTGAGAAAATGCATTACGGACCAATTTAAATATGAAAGAAATTTACGATAGAAATATATATCTGAACGGAGTTCATTTCACATTTATTTTATTAATAAGAAAAGGAAGCCAAACTTACTGTGAGCGTAATTCCAAAAAATCAGCTTGTTAAAGAGAGACTTTTCAGACAATGCAATACTTGTGCTTCAAGCGATGATTTCATTACGTGTTGTGGATCTTCTCACTGTGTGTTTGAACATACGCGCAACGTTTCCACTCCAAATATTGCATCAGCTGATCTCTTCCCGTAGACTACTATTTTTTTTTGTTTAATCCCATGTGGATTTAAATAGAACCCGCTAGGCGAGTGTTTTAATGAGCGGCCGCAAAAAAAAAAGCAAAATATATACCCACCCTACCATCTTATCTCTATCTTTTCACTTCTTGCACTGCTGTTAGTTTTCTTCTTTTCATTTTTTTTTCATAAAAATCCTACTGGTTTTGAACCAGGTACCTTCTGAACACTAAGCTGACGTCTTTCCCCTAAACCACCAGCGCCACTGATATTTATTTTCTTATCTTCCTCTTAAGCCACATCTTCGGTTATGATTACAGAAAAATCTTATTAATTCCATTTGTATTTTATAAAACTTTCGTTGGTTCCGAATCTCGGAACATCGCTTCACTACGCCGGTATTTTACCAATAGGCCACCAATGTCACGGAAATTTATAGTCTTCTGAAATCCTCCTCATATTCTATATCTCTATTTATAGCTGCAGAAAAATCATATTTATTTATCCACTTTTCAATTTCTATTGACAAAAGACACCGCGGTCTCAAACCCCATAACTTCCCAATCCTACGCCAGTGTCTTACCCATGTACCACCAGATCTATTCAAGTTTCTTACCTTCACCTTCCTCATATAGTACGACTTGCTTCCTACATGCACAAATTTTTTACATTTCTTTTCCACAAAAATAGTCATGTCTTCAAACCACGTAACTTTTAAATCATACAGCAGTGCCTTACCAAAGGCCCACCACGGTTATGACAACTATTTGCCTTCATCTTCCACATACCCCACCGCTTCGTTTCAACAAAATTCCTCTTTACTTCTTGCTTCGTTTCAAAGTCATTTTACGACTGACGGTTGGCCATTCAGACGCTCATGACGAGATCTTAGTCTTGAAGTAAGCTTCACTGTTTGGCCTCTAATACGAATCCCTTCTGATGACAAGACAGGTCTATCCCTTCTAACTTGCCACAGTCAATTACTTTCTATATTTCGTCCTTCCTCCTCTAAACTACATGTCACAACCTTTACAACTATACATATATACTGCACATGGCTTTATTGGCAATATTTATAAGCCCCCTGTCAGTCCACACCAGATTCTGCCTTATTTTCATTAGCTCACGCTAGACCAGCAATTTAGTCAGCTCAATGATCATACACAGGGTAAGCTTCACCGCCGCAAAATTTAAGCCTCGTGTTTTGTCAGGCTTCGCCTTATCCAGTATTCCGAACATTTGCATTTTATCTTCTGTGGCTTCTGGTTGCTGGCCGCTCTATGCCTTGGGATATTGCTGTTGTTGCGGAGAACTTTGTTTTCCAAGCGCTGCAGTTTCGAAACGTATGTATTTGCCGCAAATCCCATGGCAAGCCTACGACATTTGTTATTCGCACTATTTCACTGAATGTCATCAATAAAAAAGGATACCATATCAAGAACGAAAGCATATGAAGCCTAAATAGAAATTACAAACCCACTAACTATGATATACCCAGTAATTAACTTACAATCCATTTAATCATACTTAAGCCATATAGGTTACTGAGATCGGGTTTATCTCGCTATGCTAGGTAAAAATGTGAATTCTTTCTTTCTATTATGAAGTTAGCCTTATGATTCTGGTAGTTGCTGCTAGGTCAGAATTAACTACAAGAGTGTGATACTAATTGTTGGAAAGAGGGAGCTCTAAATGAACAGTGATGTTATTCTCACTCCATAACTGAATCGTCAATAAAACAAGGATACCATAATATCAGGAACGAAATTACAAACCCACTAACTACGATATACCCAGTGGTGGGAATTATGAGAGGTTAGTAGGTTGACTGCAGGAATTTTGGCGTGGTTGTATTACCCAAGTTGTCATGCTTCAAAGAAGAATATTTTATTGTGTGCTTTGCCTGAGATATGGGTGACATAACATTTACAAGCAAGCAGAATCTGCACATTATTTGTCTAGACAGTCTGGGGTCTGCATATTTTCCAGAATCCCATGAGTAGAAATGCGATGTTACATGTATTTCTGGAGAGGAATGTGGGGTATCTTTCTCCAGCCACACCTGGCTCTTAGGATTGCAGTATCTAGAGACTTACTTTAGAATTATAATTATGATGAAAAGGGGCATGTCATTTTCTTTAATTTCATAAATGAGTACAGCCTCATCAGAGGTGTACTCGTATGTCATACTGTGTGTTTGGACTGCACATTCAGAAGAGAAACCACCTCTACATATGAAGATACAACATATGGCTTTGCCCACAAATGGAAAACAACACTCTACAATTATTTCTTTGAATAAATTTACAAAACATAACCCTCATCTGTACAAACTGACAATTCACTGTACATGTTGCTACCTACATTTCAGTTTGTCAGTTGGTTACATAACCAAAAATTGAGAATGTTAAAAATTTGATTATTTTTTTAAATTGTATCATTAGAAATGGCTGAATAAGTAAACTATTCATTTGAGACTCAGCATCATCTACTTGTATTACATAAAACAATTAAGTATCATGCCATGAAGATGTATGGGAAAGTAGAGATATGGCTCCACACATTCATATATTCAGCAGTAAATGTAGGTTAGTGGTCAGCTTCCCACCCTGGCCGTTTTACCTCCACAGAACCTGCGGCTTCAGGTGCCTACTAGTAATAAAGATCTAAATGTAGTAACTGAAACATTGTTGTGTTGATGGTAGCATAGTTCTTCCATATTATACACTGCCTACTAGATACGCTGCTGTGCAGAAGAGATAAGAGCTCTTTTTCATGGTAGGAATCAAACTCTGATAATGCTGCCATAGCAACCGAGATATCTTGTCTGCAGCTGTATTATGAGAACATGGCTATTTGGAAATCAAGTTGAAATGCTAATTTGAATTATTCTGCTTCTAGTTAGTTACACTGAAGGCTGAATCTGTTTATGAAACGAAGCACTGAGTGTTCTCGGTTCATAGGAGATTGTATTCTGCACAAAAATTATAGTTACATAAGTTTCAGTAGTGGGGAGAAGGAGAAAAGACAGGAAGTAAAGAACATGTGATGTAACATGTTGAACAGAAAACACATGAGGTTACTGTGAATGAAGATTGGTCTGCATTTATAACCCAATAACCACTCCTTTGACAGAGCGAGATGTGAAATACTGATCTGCATGGCATCTCAGCACAGAGAGAAGAGAATGGAAGGGTAACCACATGACAAGAGTTTGAAGGGTGGCTGGAGATGTACTGGGCCAACAGATGGCAGGAAAGAGATATGAAAACAGACCTGTGAATGGAGTTAAAGTAATTAATCATGGGCTGTCTGGTTGGGGACCAGGTAGCAGATAAGGCATATATGTGATGAACTAGTTTCATTTTCAGGCAGGAATGCACCTTTGGAGTAGTGGGGTTTAAACTGAAGGGCTGCAAATTGGATATGTGGAAGGTGGTGGGGACCATCAGGTTGGAGTTGCTGCTGGGGAATGTTTAGAGAACTGTAATGGCAAAGAACATGAATAACAGCAAGCAGGACTAATACAAGCTAAAGGGGAAATTGTTTAATATTAAGAGGGCTAGGGGGAATAGCAGGTTGAGGGCTATACAGAACACACGGTAAGTTGTGGATACACCAAGGGCACGTACACACACACACAGCGACATCGGCCATACAACGTCTATGCAGTTCATGTTGCATCAAGTAGTAGAATACAAAGTGTAGTCTTAGCTTTCATACGTGACGACATGTGACATCTACCGTACGACAGTCGGAAAGCAGTCTGACCAAACCACCTGGTTGATTGATGGGATGCACCCGGTGCAATCTTTCCTACTGCCTCCATTTTTCTTTTCAGTGTCAGTGAAAATATCACATAGCAAGTACACGCTCTTGGTCCATCATTCATTGTTCCTTCATCAAAACTGCGATTCGGTGCAGACAACGTTGCTCTAGTGTGAAAAGGTCGTACAGCAAAAAAAATAGTATATTTTTCTGCACGACTGATGTCGCACTGTGTGTACATGCCCTAAGCAGGCTAGAGCTCTGACTGCACTGTGAAGTTTGTAGCTCTGCAAGGTACAGCTGGGGATATACTGAGCTCTATGAAATCTAACAAGTCTCCACATACACTGTAAAACCCTGGCTGTTATGAAGGGTATATATGTTGATATATCACAGCGTATAAAATTGTCTCTACACTGTGTATTTTAAATTTCTGGGTACATTATTCTGTGTAAAGCTGGGTAGGTGTGTGAATACAGTGAGTAATACAATGCTCTTGTTACACTGCATAGTGTGCTTTTAACTACTACAGGCCAGCTCTGTGGTCACATTATAGCAGTAGCATGAACAGTTAAATTCTGTGAGCACTGAGCAGTTTAAATCTCTGGCCACACACCGCAGCGTGAGACTGGCTAGATTCTGCAGCAAAGAAGTATAACTATGTGGGTGCTTCTTGCAGTGTGGCTGCATGATGCAGTCTAATATTCACAATGTAACAACAGTAAGACCATTCTGAGGGACTCTGGTTAATTTTTTTGCATTGGTTATATGACTGGTCTCCAAATTTCATAATGCCATGAATTTCCAGCAGAATTATTTGTTTCATTCATCAGTTCTCTCTTATACATCTCTTTCCACATGAACATTCAGATCATCAAGGTTAAGCCTTACACATGTTCCATGTATGATTTCTCTCTGAAAAAGGAAACCATTCCAGCATGCAATGCAAGTCTTTGATTGTTAAAGCTTGGATTTTATTATGCAGGGTTTATGCTGGGCAGTTAAAGGTTTGGACCTCTTATGTGGTGGAGCCAGTATAGCAGCAGGCTGAATGGCTGGGGTTCAATTCCCAGCTGAGGCAAGAGGTATCTCTCTCCTCACCATCCAGACCAGCTCTGGGACCACCCAGCTTCCTACTCGTATTTAGTGGGTACTGACTAGGGTCTCTTTCCCCAGGGGTAAAACAGCCAGGGCATGAAGCTGACCACTCACTTCCATCTAGTGTCAGGTCAAGAATGGTGGAGCTATATTTGTACTCCCCTGTATGTCTTCTGAAAAATTTTCCTAGGGCATCTCATGAAACATTTAGGGACATATGCCCCAAAGGTTGAGGACTGCTGGCTTGTATGAACATCTGGAGATCTGGAACAAACAGCAGCAAGAAATAAGAGACATTCTGACAGAATATATTTCTCAAAAATAGGGCAATACCATACACAACATGCAAATATCTATGATGACCAAGACTTCACAAACCTTCAGTTTCAACACAGCTGAATACTTATGTGACATAAACTGCAAGAAGTGTTAAACTCTGCATGATTACAGTTACATATTTGGAATGCTGGCAACAAATATGAATGTGCAAAAGGTGGCTTTCTGCCAGAAAATGTGAGGCATTCCAGCAGCAGTCCTTAGTTTGGATCCCAACTAAGAGACCAGGTCTGTTGCTACTTCCTTTGAAATTCCCCTCCAGTCATCATTCATGACTGCATAGAAATTTTGGCTAATATTGCACAAACTCTCAATTGATAATTCGTCTGAGTACAGAAGCTAACAATACAAAAAAATCTATAGCTTCTTCTGAAGATGATATGAAAAGCAAATATCTCTCACATGAAGGGCTGTGACAGGCTGAAGTTTGTGAAATTCTGGTCAAAGCAATAACTGTAGAGAGCTTCATGTATATACAATAAATAACACATCCCACGCAGTCACAGAAATTAAATATTCCTACATAATATACTACTGCAACATGCAATACTTGTTGTCTTAACATTTGCCACCTGCACACAAACACACAACAGATTGCTTTAAGCCCTTCACTCACTGAAGTATGGAAATTTAAGAGTAGGCTACATATGAATGGTGATACATCTCTCTGCTTGACCCAAGGTGACACATCAAGTAGCATCAATGCAATTGATCAAATTAATGTATTATGTTTCAGCATCAATACAAGCTAATTAGCCTGAATTTCATCATTAGGATAAATCTGTTGAAATACAAAGAAGTTGGCAGTCCTGCAATAGCAGGATGGTTCTGCTAAATAAACAAAATTTTGGTTACTTGGTACATATTTTTCAGATGCAATTTGTTCCATGACACCAAAAGTCTGCGGCAGAAGCAACACTTCTAGGCTTCATGATGAGGAACTAAGGCAGACCCAGTAAGTAAGGTATGCTGATAAAACAGGTCCAGATGGATCACAGAGTCTGGATTTATCTTGCATGTGATTTGCATACATGATAATCAGGACAGACATCTTCTGCTTCTTATTGTGGGCACAGATGACTCTGCTGTCAGTTTTATTCAGTTTCTGAAACAGGCTATATAGCACTATGAGCAGAAGTGAATATACACATTGTATCTGCTACTATGTCACTGGAATTAAACTGCTGGGCTTCCAAACTTGAAAAATAACTTTCGGATCAAAACAGAGAGCCATTTTTTTAGAAATTATGAAGACACTTGAAGAGTTGAAATCAACGTGACTATCATTAACCAAGGAAACCTGCAGTTTTAGGATAAACACTTCACACTTACAGTCAAAATAAAACCCATAGGACTTCTTGCAAGACTCACACTTTGTATCAATACTCATGTCAACTTTCGCAAACTGGACATGAGTTCATGATGTAACAGATATGCGCATGGGTGTCCAAGCTGCAGTGGAATTCATTTTCTGCTGTTTCTGTAACACTTCTTCTATCATATAATAAATCCTTACTTCATTATCAACAACAAAGGGTTGATACAATAGCATACAATAAATTACTTTTACAAAATAAAAAAGATGTTACTCCAAAATAAAAGTGTCACACCAAGTTTCACACCAGAAATCTCATTCTGACAGTCTTGAATATAATGTGATCACTCCTATATCGATAAACTTCCAATGTAACCTTTAAAATTCTGTATAAGAAGCAACAAATCAAATCACATAGGCAAACCACACATCTGGAGTTTTAGCCGGGATGTATGTATTCCTGTCTGCAGAATTCTACATCAACTTCAGTCAGCTACATTTAACAAGTTTCCTCATCTTAAATCATTATGGAAAATAACCTAACTCTTCTATTTATATACACTAATTATGTAGAAAAATATGTACAACCACTCTTGAATGGCACTCATTGAGTTTCCTGTCATCGTAATATGATGTAAGTACAATTAGGGGACTATCACAATGGCTGCACATGTAGTGCAACATTATTAAATATGAGACACACTGAAAGTTCTCTTGGATATTGAAACATTCATATTTAAATCTTTCTTCTGGAATTTTACCTGCTGTAAAGATAAGTCCACCATTCAGGACAAGGAAAAGAAACAGCAGAGCTGCCACACTTACAGCAGGAAATGCACAACCAGGGTTCCCATGTGTCCCATGTCTTGACATGGGCACAGTACAGTCAAACCATACTGAGCACAGCTGAGCCTTTCTTAACACAATTAAAATATAAAACTTATATGGAAGGACAAAATTCTTTTTAGACTTTGGACTTGTGGTATGTCTCACAGTGATGAGAGAGTGTAAGATATAAATAAGCTATCCTAGCTTCATATAAAATATGGAATACTGAAAAAATGTTTCAACATGCACATTCAATATTAACAATACATTTAGAACCTCTTTTTTTAATTAGAAGAGATCTGTATCCTCTGGCATACTTGACATTTCAAAGTGCACTGATCACACAGTTCTGTGTATCCTGGGATACACAAGCTCTTGAATGTGGCAAACTTACAAGAGCTCAGTCAAAACACACATTACATGTTGGTGCCATTCAGAAGTTGGTGTCATAATCTGAACGTCTGCGTGAGTATCCACTTGTGCTGCTACCAGCATTACCATTCCCATAGTATGCATTGTAGTAATAGCCATTCCACTCTGACCGCCAGCTGTCATACAGGTTTGACATACTGTTCTCCTGCAGGGATCCCGATGACCGCTGTAAAGAGACAAACTTCTGTCTGGGGCTACTGTGAACTGAGTATTAGCAGATATGAGTATATTTCAAATGTTTACAAAACTTTGGAGGTGGATTCAAAAAGTGACCATTGGGAGATCAAACAAGAAATGAAAGAACAATTTTAAAAGTTTGTTACTTGCTTCTCTTAGCCTCTGTGTGCCATGGTTATATTGAACGACCATTTTAAGGTGGCCTCTGTTACTTGAAAGTTCAATATGGCAATTCAGAATGTCAGGGGTGAGAAAAACCCACATTGCGTCTGGCTGGTCTCCAACCCAAAACACTTGGCACACAAATCTCTACGCTCAGGATTTTGAAAATAATATAATGCAAGGACTTGAGCTGGATGGAACTGGCTTAGGAATGCACTGAATTTTGAGGTTTTGTGTAAGGCTTCACATAAGGAGACAGGCTGTGCAACAGGAGACAGTGTACACATACAACTCTCTTATCTAAAAACCAAATGTCTGACTTGCGACTCCATTCTGAAAACTAAAATGGGTACTCCACACTCTACTTTGGAGAAGAGCAGTTGCCAGCAGAAGTAACTAACACTGACTGTTAGCAGCAAGAAACCTGGAGTGAAGATCTCTCTCTCTCTCTCTGCTTGCTCAATATCAACAAACATGTCACATATCATAACTTATTGTGAAAGGTTGTACGAAGATACCTTCATTGGAGGCTTGTCATTCCAAACATCATCCATGTTGTATAGGTCATCTGCTGCGTAGTTGTCAAGGCCACCCATGTGATTTTTATTTAGTTCGTTCAGCATGTCCTCAGTCAGCGGAGTGGGTGACTTCTTCTTCTTGTTTTTTTTGCGGTTCACAAGCTGTGAGCACAAGAACATGACCCCATCAGTCCCTCTGTCACAACACCTGTCTTATTAAAAAAAGTGATTGGACCTTTTCCTTCATATCCCCCATGCGCTTGACCAGAGCGTTGACTAGTTTACTTGATACATTTCTACACACCCTTCCAGACTATCTTCTATCTGGAACCATTATCAGTAAGATATTCACTAGCAATTAAAATTTTCAGGTGCAAACTTTATATGTCTGTTTTTCTATTAAGCTCGTTTCTCTTTTGGCAAAGCCCAACAGAAGATCTGATGAATTTGATCAATTTTGTTTTCTTTATATGTTCTTTCACAGAACAAAACCTTCTGACATGTGTAGAGTTCCATGCACTTTTCTGCCCATCCCAGAAACACACACATGCACACAAACACATGCACACACACACACACACACACAATAAGATAAACAATTCTAGAATTGAATTTAATTCCACTACTTCTCATGTCGAGAGGCAACACAATACACAGGACCATCAGGGGACCCTGGTTCAGGATGCATGTTTATAAACTGAACTCTGTCAGAGAGGTTATCAGTGTTAACGTGTCCCTGTGTGGGGGAGGTTCAACCCTGTAAGCATGGGCCATAAAAGAATGAGCTTGTTACTTACAACAGTGACACCAAAAATGATGACAAATAACAGGGATGCCAACCCAATTACAATTCCAGCAATAGCCCACTGTGGCAAGAACACATCTTCATCTGCATATCCCACAGTTGGTATCACCTGCTTTGTTAGCACTGCAACAGAGAGATATTAAAACATTTGAGAGGCAAACCCAACTTGTGCATCAGAGGTAAGAAGTTAGGAAACAGTATCACACACACATTCACTGACTCCATGATATAGAGGACTGTTTAGCAGTCAAAATTACTTGGCTGACTGAGAAGTCATCTTCTATTACACAATCCAAATGTTCATTACTGGCCCTGAGTCAGTCACATGTTGGAACTCAACTTGCCTATGAAGTCTGTGAACTTGGGATCCACCACAAAGCTTCCTAGCTGCAGCCTACCGCTGATCACAGACTCAGTGTCGGCTGACAGGCTACTGTGAAACAGTTGTTTGATCTCCTGCGTGTCAATATGGTGCCCAACATCTGCGAGCTCCACGAAGTAGTCCACCAGTACGCTGCTCACCTCTTGCTCGGAGCCCACCGCATTCACACTGGTGCTGTCACTGCAAGAGCATATTTCATCTCCAAACATAATTACCTGGGCTCAATTTCATTTGATATTTCAGGTCTACACGAGACATATCAGTTACTGAACTTTCATACATGTAATGAACCTTAACAACCCTCAAGTACAACATGTAATAGTTAACACATTACTTACTGGACAAATTCAGCTGTATAGGACCATTATCAGAGGCTTGTATGTTCAAGAGGATATTGCTTAGCATACATTAATTTACGGTGGTAATATTTTACACTTAAATCCCTTTGCAACTGAAGGGGAGAGAGATCTAACGGCTGTTATGCCACTCTAGCACAGCACACGGACAGAAAATGAGACAATAATATATCAATCATGAAGCCTACATACAGAAAGCAACATCAACAACACAAGTCAGGATACTGTCACGTGACAGTTGCTATAGACTGGGCTTGGACTGATAATTGAATTTACTGACTACTTACTACAGATCATAACTACAAAGTACCTATAACAGCCTCACTGGTTTACACACTCTACTGCAGCACAAAAAAGTCTTCTACGTCTTCAATATAGTTGTTTCTTGGTAATGGATCTTAACACTGTCCGCTGCTTATGTCCTCACTGTCGGGCACATATCCCACAACTGCACCAAGTCTCTCTTCATAGACTCCCTTACAATTCATTAACTCTTACTCCACTTTGTTCCTCTTATATTTTGGCATGGACTGCGTAGAGAACACTGTTCACTGTTGTACTCCAATCGTTTTCATGGCAACAGGTTTGTTTGCAAAATCGTTACTCAGTAACAGCTGCGTATATTTCCTTATTAAGAATCTGTTATCTATTAACAGATGTTGTGTTTACACAAGGAAAGAACTCTCTATCTACATGCTCAAATATAAAGGTATTTCAACGTAACTCTTACAGGTGTAAATTAATGTATGGTAAGCAATCTTCTCTGTAACATGTCAGCCCCATAAAAGGCATATTTTATCCAATATGTAAAGCTTTTAACTAGTGCATGCTTTACTTGATGGTTCATATTATGCTCACATCAAATCTTATTAATTTTCTCAAAAAGCTTTATCTCACAACAGCTGTTACAAATTTATGTGAAATATTTTACAATGAGGTGAATATTTAAGGATGTACAAAGAAACAATCATTCTTGCATCTGTGGAGTGCAATGTCTGTACCATTCATTAGGTTCGGAAAAGCTCTGTGACTGCAAGAAGCAAGGTTCTTCTCACCTGAAGGAGTCAATTCTGACCTTCCTGAACCATCTGCTGAGTGAGTCCGACTTGCGGTATGCTGTCTCCAGCTGAAACGGAATACAACCTGCCTCAGACCGATTATCTGGCAACACAAATGGAACAATCAATAACACAGCTCAGACCTTCACAATTAAGTAATCATTTGCAAACAGACTGACTTTTACTTTCTGAAACAAGAACTCAGACATGCTAACATAGAATGATATCTTTATGGGCGGGATACAACATGGCATATCATTATTTTTCCAGTCCTACTTTTCAAACGGCTGTGATTTCTTCACATTGTCACAGCAAATTCACTTCTTGGAAATGTTTTGGACAACACATGGTCAGTACGCCTGTGTGTGGCTCTAAGCTGGTGCATATTGTGCATGACGCAGCAGAACACTCACTCATACATTTAAACTGAATTAGACGCTCACCTGTTCCTGAATCTCAGAGGCCAGCTGCTGCCACTCCTCAGTGTTGTGGTCCAGCAGTTCCGGCACCCATGTCACACCCCCCACCAGCTTCACAGTGCCTGCCAGGTCACAGTATTCAGTGCACATTCCTGGGGTTGTTGGACGAGGGGTGGTGGTAGTTGTCGTTGTGCTAGTGGTAGTGGTGGTTGTGGTGCTGGTTGTGGTGCTGCTGCTGGTCACTGCTGTCTTGGCTATCTCCAACAGTCTTTCTAGGGGGATGGGAGTGGTGGATGGTGTGGGCCAGCCCGTGAACTCAGTGGTGGCCCTGTAACAGGTGAAAAATGTGGTAGGCACAGGGACATGTTTAAATATTCTGATTGTTACTAAACATCTCAAATATGTTTACCTCTAGATGTCTGAACTGTTGGCAGAATTATGTATGGTAATGCATGGTTACATTCAGGACAGGAAGAGAACACAGAGTAAAAATATCTTGAACTGAACTGTCATATATATTTTCTGGTGTCAACATTGTTATAATACTAAATATTATAAATGCAGTAATGTATATCTAGGTAGCACAAAATGACCACATTTCAGAAGACTTACAAAATGCAATGGCTAGGCTACAATAAGCTGAAGTCACAATAGTGTGATTGCAACAGACTACCTGCTTGTACATTGTGACAAATGTATGATGTAATAACTTAAAGGAGATATGAATAATTTGCGTTCCAGAGCTCAAACGTAGCAATAGTATTGCACACATGCTGAGGCAGCAACCTGAGAGCATAAAGCCCTTTGAACTTTGGTCCAGTAATTAATTATTTTTAATCTTTTCGCTGTTCTCGAATTTCATTATACAGTCATTATGAGAGTTATGAGAGGGAGTATGCTGATGGCCATAAATGGAAAATGCTGTTAACTGCAGCACACATCACTATAATTTCATGTGGCCAGTGAAAGAAACTGATTATTGGTAAGTAGGAAAGAGGGTGAAATTCATGACTGGGACTTCAGCAAAATTCAGTGGTTAGATAACAAATGCGAGATTGGCATTACTGATTAAGTTCTTCAGTTGAAAATACATAAATATGTAAATAGATGACTGAGGTGTTGCTCATCCTGTAGATTGAAGGGGTCAGGCCACCCTACAAATCCACTGCAACCCACTGTGGATCAATACGGCTGCAAAACACAGTCCCTCCAAGGTGCAGCTAAAATTGTCAACACAGATTTTCACTGAAATCTGAGGAACTGTTTATGAGCTATGTGGGAATGTCAGTTAATGGATGGCAAACTAAGCCTTACTACAGATGCAAATGGCTGTTACTGGTAAGATCCTCCAGCTCTTAGTGAAAGTCTCCTGTACTGAACATCAGTAAGATCCATGAAATGGTTCATGGGATGAGCATAATTCCATTTATGGAGTTAAGAAAACTGGGCATATTATTGTTGACAAATATGGCTGAAATCAGAGGGCCTCTACAGCATCACGACAAAGTAACAACACAATATGTGAAGTACATTCTGGTCTTTGAAAATGGCAGTTATACAGGAATCTAGAGAAACAGTCAGTTCCATTCCATCCGAAACCAATAACAAATATGAGAAAGTTTACCAAGCTTCACCATGAGACACATGTAAAAATTCGTTTACTGCCTCCTGTACATTGCACTAATATCTGGAGCAATATGGACCAACTGAAGGAATGTACAGAAGAAAAAGTCTGTAGTATCACGTGTAAGCACAATACACCACACTGTTCATAGTCTCCTGTGAACTCTGCTCACTCTAACAGCAAAATGCATCTTGATAACAGGATCCAAGGGCATCCAAGATGAAAGTTTCCAATACCAAATCTGAGCAGAATATGTCAAGCTGTTCATGAGACACATGCAAAAACCCATTTTTGTCTCGTGCAAACTACATTTAATTTTACAGAAACACGAAACTGGATACAATGACTGAAGGGCATGTCAGAAGATTATCGATTGAATTGGTGGAGCATGTGTCACGGTGTTCATGAGATACATGTAAAATTTCAACCTGTGTCATGTAAAAAGTATGCTAATTTTGGGAGCAATAGGAACTGGGTACTGTGATAGGATGCTACAACATCACACTTTAGATGAATGTGTATAGCTGTTCATGGGATACATACATGTAAAAATCCTAATCCTTTCACGTGTAAACTATGCTAGACTCAGATGTAACATAATTTATTTTTAGATCAATGCAGAAGTGGATAGAATTGAAGGAAATGCCAAAGCAGTGTCGCAATATCAAATTAAAGGTGCATGTGCTGCACTCTTCATGAGACATGTGTAAAAAATTGCTTGTTACCTCATGAAAACTATGCTTATTTCTGTACTAATGTGTTACACACTCCAGCCATCCTGATCATGGGATACTCGTTCCATGCACACTGCGCCTACTGTTGCGCTGAGGTACACTGTGAATTAGGTGATATCTGTGGTGTCACATGGCTCTGCCTCTTTCATTAACCTGTTGTGCCTGGTAAGCACCTATGTTGTAACCAAAGCAAATTTAATACTGCTGTCACTGACTGACATATTCTCAGTTGTGACACTATGCTGTTTGGTAGATCAACGTTTCAGAGGTAGCTGATGCCTCCATTTTCAGGTCAGGAAAGCAAGCAGTCATTGAAACGTTGATAACTTTTTCAATTGGTGACCTACACCAGAATACAGTGAAACACGTTGTGAACACCTGCCATTTTTTTTTAATTCGCTTAATGGGGGGTGGAGTCCAACTGGGTTCACTCAGCACGGCGGCCACTGATTGGCTTATTGTAGCCTGCCCCGGGTGATTATGATGGAGAATTTGGTGGAACGAAGATTGGCAAGGGAAACCGAAGTACTTGGAGAAAACCCGCCCCAGCGCCACTTTGTCCACCACAGATCCCACTTGACCAGACTCGGCCGCCACGGTGGAAAGCCAGCGACTAACTGCTTGAGCTATGGTGCGGCCCTAACATCTGCCTTACCTTGTGGGCCACCCTGTGCTGATCTTAGGTTTCTGAACAGCCGGCCCCTGGATGGGCTTGTGTGCGGGCAGGAGTGGTTTGCGGGTTACGCCCACTCTGGTGGGGAACTTCACTCTGATCACATCTGCAGGTGTTGTCGCCTCGGTGGTCGTGGAATTCTCTTTCGCAAAGCCAGGTGGAACCAGTGTGGCGACAACTTCCAACTCTTCTTTGCCAAGCAGATATTCCACGGCGGATTTCTCGGTCGTACTTGAGAATTTGAAGCCTGGTGGCAAGAAAGCACTGACATCTACCGGTTGAGCCTTGCTTAACAAACCCTCCAAGCCGCGAGACTTCGCTGTCGTCGACGAAGACTTTTCTGTCGTCAATTTGAACCCTGGTGGTAGGAAGGCGCTGACATCTACCGGCCGAGCCTTGCTTAAAAGACCCTCCACGCCGCTAGGCTTCGCTGTCGTCGATGATGACTTTTCTGTCGTCAGCTTGAACCCTGGTGGTAGGAAAGCGCTGACATCTACCGGCCGAGCCTTGCTTAAAAGACCCTCCACGCCCTTAGGTTTTGTTATCGTGGTCGATGACTTTTCTGTCGTTAGCTTGAACCCTGGTGGTAGGAAAGCGCTGACATCTACCGGCCGAGCCTTGCTTAAAAGACCCTCCACGCCCTTAGGTTTCGCTGTTGTCGTCGATGGTTTTTCTGTCGTCAGTTTGAACCCTGGCGGTAGGAAAGCGCTGACATCTACGGGCCGCGCTTTACTTAACAGGTCCTCCACACCGCTTGACTTTTCTGTTGTCGTGTTTGGCTCCATCGCTTGCGGTTTGAACCCTGGCGGCAGGAAAGCGCTGACGTCGTCAAACTTTATCTTGCTTAAAAAATCTTCTAGTTTCTTGGGTGGTTTCTCTATGGAGCTGGAGTCCTCCACTTTGATCTTGTTCTTCGCACTACTGAGACCGGACGATCTGGAGCTGGTACTGTTGGGCTTCACCGGTTCGTCTCCTTGAGGGTAGTCCAGTGGGTCAATATGCTTTGGGGTTGTGGTCCGACGATTTGTTGAAATTCTCTGTTTGAATCCCGAAGGAAGCAAACGCGACAAGTCATCCATCGGGATGGTATCGAATAGGGTGGCGAGTTTGTTCGGTCTAGGCGTTGTTCGGCCCGAATTGGGAGAGAACTTGCGAATGAACACAGGAGATTTGTACGTTGTAGTGGAAATGGGCGTGGTCGTGTTGGTGTCTGTCATGTCAGTGAGTACTTTCAGCTGCAGTTTCTTGCCCTCCGGCCTGAAGCCCCATGTTAATATTCCGCTGGATAACTCTGACTCAACACGATACTTATCAATAATACTTTCCGTGCTGTGTGGGGGCTTCGAACTCGGTACCGTCTTTCCCGAGAGTGACTTGGGTCTCTCTTCCTGCTTGACCGCACTCGAGGGCAGGAACCTGGCCCCAGACACACTTCTGCTGGTCTGCACCGATGCGACCACCACCCAGCTCTCTGTTGGCTGCGTCAGTTCCGGTTGCACCTTTGCCGGGACCGGAGTTGCCATCTGCTCGAGAATGGGTGGGGCTACAGAGGGGACTGCGAACATTGTGCCATTTATGACGCTCTTTGTGGTTACCACAGAAACGCCCAACGGTCTGGAATCGAGAGTTGTAACCATGGAAACTCCCAGTAATTTTGAGTCCCGGCTGCTTACCGTGAAAGAGTTAGGCGCTTTGGAATTCAATACAGTTACCGTGGAAATGTCTAGCGGTTTCTGAGTGGATGGTTCGTAGGAGCCGTCTAGCTCTTTCAGTGTGACTTCGCTGGAGGCATCTTCGGTCATTATGCTTTCCGAAACAGTTGACACGTGCGGGGCGTCTGTTGCATCGATCAAAATGCTGTCAACAAAACCGCGAAAGTTGTCTTCCTCAACTAGTGTATGGCGTGGGTTCATTGTCAGGACTTCAAACGTACTACTGTTGTTCTCGATGTCACGTACATGTTGTTGCTCGGGCATTTCTTCCTTCTTCACGGTGGTGGGCTCTTCATGCAATGTGGCCGTCACGTCGTCAAAGTCGGTGGTAACTTTGTGTCCAGTCACAGGGTCCGTGGTGTCTTGCACGTCATGTAGAAACGTCGTGACCTCGTGTGAGTCCGCAGTTAGCGTGGAGTTGTGTGGAACCTGTTCTTGGTTTCTTCCAATAGAGGTGTCGTCAGAAACAGTGGGTACCAGGCTCCCAGACTGCTCAGAACTATTTCCTGGCACTACAAGTATGTCAGAACCAGAGGGCTTTCGGCTCCCAAAGTCCTCAGAACTATCTACTGGCTGTACAGAGTCCTCAAAACCAGACGGATCAGAACTATATTTCTGGTGTGCAGATAACTCTACCGGAGGATTGGAGTCCTCCAGACCTCGAGACTCGTCAAACTCGGCAGCTTCTGAGGTGGATGTCGGGCGCAGAGGTCTCCTGGGAGTAAAGGGCACCTTACTGGGTCTGATGTAGAACTGACGCACTTTAACAGGTGCTTTTGTAGTGGGAGTGAATCGCCCGCGGGTCCGGGGCGAGCTCGTGCTCTGGTACTGCGGATGGAGCCTGGCGTGATCCTCTCGGGGTGCATTTTTGATGTTTTCAATCGTCGATTGACCTCGAGTTCTTTGAGGTGATAACAAGTTGCTCCGCGACCCGGCCTGAGGTCGGGTGCCCGGCTTCCTTCTCAGCACCGAATCTCCTGTCCGATCCTTCTGTCTGGGGTTGGGGGCCGACTTGGGGTCCTCTGTCGGGCTGTCGTCGAACTCCAGGTTCTGGTCCACAAAGGTGCTGAAACCAAGGTCATCGGGTTCCGAGGGGAAGTCCTGTGATGCTGCGGGGTTTGAAGGGTAGGCTAGCGAGGTGGGAGAGTTTGAGGGATAGACATGTGGTGGTAGAGGGGTGGACGGGGGCTGGTTCAGCTCTGAGGGGTAGGCGTGCAGCAGGCGCTGGTCTCTGGAAAATCCGCCAGGATTTAAAGTGATCTGGTCTAGGAAGGACGGCGCGCGATGCGGATACAACTGTGATCCCTGCTGGAACGCTGAGAATGACTGCGGGGCGCTGCTGCTCACTGGAAACGGGGAGTGCCGGTATGGATTGTACGGGTCCGAGGTTCGAGGCTGGAAGAAGTCCTCGTATTGCGGCGGTGACGGTGGCTGCTGGAAGTTGGTGTAGTAGAACTGCTGACCTGCGGACACACAGACAGGACAGTTGCATAGCAACGGTTTAACAGAGCCCAACATGCCACGCCAAGAGATTACTTCATACAGACCCTTCCACAATGTCACTGTGACTGTCATGCTTCAAGGAGTCAGTACCTCCTAAACAGAGTCGGAAATAACATGTCTAGATATCTGTCGCTATCACGGCCACCGTGGCGTTACTGTCTGCTCTGTCATTGCACAGTGGTTAGTGTTCGAGAGGTCCCTTGCTCGAATACTGGCCGGAATGCGGTTATCCTCCTATGATTACATTCGTGTTCAGGTGTCTGTCTGTACACACAAACGCCGGGATAGCAGAAAGACACAGATGACGAACCCTTCTTCCATTTCATTATCCACGATAATCCTCACCTTGGACGCACATGAAGTTGGCAAGTGCAAGCAAATCAAAACCTGGCAACACGGACGCCAGTCGCATACAACGTACTGCAGTTTGCCCCACTGTTCCAAAGGCTGCTACCCAGTCTCCAAGCGATGTGGTTTCGAAACACAAATCCAGGAACCCTGCTGGTTATGCAACAAGGTACAGAGTCAAACTAGAGCACGAGCGAATTCAACTAACAGCCAGTCTGGGCCGCGACATAGCTCAAGCGGTTAGTCGCTGGCTCCCCACCGCGGCGGCCCGGGTTTGATCCCGAGTCTGGTCAAGTGGGATTTGTGGTGGACAAAGTGGCTCTGAGGAAGGTTTCTCTCTGAGTATTTCGGTTTTCCTTGCCAATCTTCATTCCACCAATTGCTCCACAATCACCCTCACCTATCATCTGGGGCTGGTACAATAGGCCAGAAGTGGCCGCAGTACAAGGGACTTAGTCCCACACCACTAGCAATAAAAAAAAACAGCCAGTCTAACTGATTAACCGGCCGATCTATGGTGTCTTCCATTTGCAGCTAACAGGGCTGTTAACCAGCATATTGAGAAAGCTCTTGTTCATCATATACATCACGAATTCTCCTAATTATGGAAGAGCTTAGATCTCGACAACCCATTTAACTATGACCGTTTCCTTTCAAAAAAGTGAAGATATTTCTGCAACAGGCCGTGGAGGCACTTAGGGTTGTGAGATGTTGAGGTTCCGACATTTTCTAGACAACCGGCTCACAGATGGCGGTAAGGTTGTCAGCCTTACGCATCGGCCGCCCTTTATTTTTTTCTTGGCACTACAGCCCCAGTGGGCCTAGGCCTACCTCCATGAACTTCTCCGTTTACTTCGGCTTTTCTAGATCTTAGACATTCGGTAGGACTCCATGGGCGGGTGATCAGCTCGTCGCAAGGCCTCTACCTGTACACAAACAGAGAAAAACGCATACACACAAACTAAACATCCATGCCCTGAGTGGGATTCGAACCCACGATCCCGGTTTCCAAGCGAGCGAAGACAGTACATGCCCGGCCACCCTTTACTCCCAAGAATATTCCAGGAACATTCATTGTAGTCGTTTCTGTTACAGGCTGAGTCGACCCCAGGGCCATAGTGCGGCTGGAAGGATTAGGTAAATTGAAAAAAAAAAAAACCAGTGACCTCATCGGGACTTGAACCCGCGACCTTCCGGTTTGTAGCATAGTGCCTCAAATAACTACGCTACGCCCAAATCTCCTCCAATTTAGAAACAAAAATTTCACTGATAACTGAACATTACACAGCTCAACAAGTCGACATGGCGTTGTTAAATAAGCTAATCTCATACATATTCGGACAATTATAGGTTCGACAAGACCTTGAGTGACTGGCCAGTTGCACAAACACGACGGCCTTGTTTATTGGCAGTGGTGCCAATTCATTAGTTCAGAAAAACAAATTAAACACGAACTGAATATAAGAGAGGTTTAGGCCGAGGTTAAGAGTGCTGTGGGTGTGGGCAACCCCGTTTCTGGACGACCGAACTCGTTAACGTGGAACAAGGCGTCACTGTCTACCAAATGTGATAATTGCCCAAATTAGAAAATAAACACCGTCACTTCAGTCTACCATAGATATTGTCACATGTTGGTTGGTACGCGTGACGAAATGACGGGTCATAGTTCGGACTGGATTTATTAGCAGCTCGGTCACACACTCTCTCTTAATTACACGTAATACAGGCAATACAGCGCTATCGCTAATTTACACACCGTTGCGCACGCACTAGGATTCTCCGTTTTCACCAGTCGTCTCCTAGCAACGGATCTCAACACATAAACTATCACTTCAAATCACTATGAAGGCTTCTTGTCTTCAATCACTCTGTACCCTTTTGTCCTAATCTGTATTCAAACTTCACAATTCGCGTTCCATTCTCGTCCTTGTACTCTCAACTAGTCTTCACGGATTTATAACACAGGAACTATAAAAGTCACCATAAATCACACACTTTCAATATCACTGCACTACAGCATACATAAAGCCTTCACAGGTGGACGAACTTTTCGTGGCTGTCTCCTACCGAGAACTCAGAACTCAAAATTCTGTCACTCTGTCTTGGTACAAGTCAAAGTAACATTGTGACTGACCGTCAGTCAGTCGGTAAGTCTTGGTGTCGAGCTCTTGAACAGATATTTATTACTGTTTGGCAGTTACGGTCTTGTTATTGTGGGGCGCCCTCTCTGAGGAGAGGACGGGTCTCTCTTTTGTCACTGTCTGCAGCAGTAAGTCATTTGTCCTAATGTAAAGGATATTTACATTTTACATATTAATAAATGTATATAAATATATATAAGGCCTCTTGTCAGTCTAGGCTCAGTATAGCAGATTATGCCCTATTTCTCACTCTCTCTCTCGGACAAGTCGGTCACATTGCGACTGACGGTTAGTCAGTTGGTATTCAGCCCAATCTGGGGCTCATTACCAGATATTTATTACCGTTTGACAGTTACGGTCTTGTTTTTATGGGGCGCCCTCTCTGACGAGAGGACGGGTCTGTCTTTTGTCTGGTCCTTGCCAGTCTTTCTCGGGTCTGAGTCCCTTGTTACTAGCGACCATATTTTACTCTCAGATTTGAGACTTCCCTTTTCATCGCCTCCTACGACTCGCAGGGTATTCGAACCCCCCTCCATACGGGCGGCAACTAGCGCCTAACTCCCGGGTTTAACCCACCCAAAGGAGGGTAAAGAAGTCGGAGCACGAAGCAGACTGCTGTTGTTGACATACTTCCGCGTTACATTATGGGATCTGTGCTTAGACACAGGGGCCACTGTGTCACTATAACACAAGTGTCCTGTAACAGATTCGAGCATCTTTACAATTTCTACAAGCCCCGATACGAAAATCACGCCACCCGAAGTAACCAGGCCTCAGTAATACCAACACGACCACGCAACGAAAAAACAAAACATGGCAACAGCGCGAAACGTGCAGTTGGCGGATACAACTGAAAGTGGAACCAATCAGCTTCACGCCCGAGATATTATTTGAACCTCAGAACAGTCTGTCCTCGCGCAGAGAAAGCGGAGGCGATAGACGCTATGTAGGCGTATGGAGAGCACGGAGGACACCTTCCAGAGGTGCCTGTAGCCCTGCAACGTCGACTTGGGGGGGGGAGGCAGATCCGGACAGCTGTGTGATTGGTGGCCAATCTCACTGTGAAGGATGACATTACTGCGTACAATGAACCTGCAACAATGGGGTGAGGGCACAGAATTACAGGCAACATAGACACACACGCAGGTGTGTCAACTTACTCAACAGAAATAGACAAATACGAGTGCTACGTCTGTGTCACAGACTAAACTCACACGTACAAATAAAAATGTAGTGTGAATGCAGCTTCAAAACGCGACACTAAATCAAAGGAGGACATGATAGCTTCCTCGTTTTCGTCACCTTCAGTTACGAATATACGATTTTACGGAGTAATCACCCATCGCAGATCGACACGATGATGGATGCACTATATCGATGGGTAGTACGAATTCCAGCGACTGTTGTTGACGTCGACGTCGTGCCTGTTCAGAAAGACCAACCCCTCTTCTCGTCGAAGAGGAGGCCCCATTTATTTATAAACATATAAATGGTCTTGGAATGAAGAAGAATTTGGTCACGAGTCCCGACGGGGTCCAAAACCAAGAATGCTGGCGAGGACCAGCAGCAATTTTGCTATGCTATACCATATTAACGCCTAGAACAATGGATCCTTAGGCCTTGCTACGTCTCCAGGGCGCAGACAAAACATTTCACACTTACCAGTGAAAAACTGCTCTCGATACGAGAAATCTGTATATTTTGATCGGTCATGCGAGATTCTTAATTACTTTATGTTTCTGAGACGATCGTTATCTTTCTTACTATGACATTTGGTACGGCTCAGCAGATGGAGGAAATGGGTGGCCGTCATTGGTGGGTATTTGCTGCAGGACTCTTCGTATGTAATTCTGAAACTGTTTTGTGGCTAGGCGTGATGCCGGACCCCATACATGGCGGCACGATGGAACCAGAAGGGCACGGCAACTATTCTTAACCGCGCCACTAACACATCCTTAACCTCGGCACGAGACGGCTGGTTGAGCTTGTGGAGAGCAGAGCTCTGGGCGTCCAACCGTACCGAAAGGTGGTGATGTAAAAGAAGCGACCTTCTGTTTAAGGTTAAGCAGATGCTTACAAGTTCCCGTGCGTGTTTCTTAGCTGTTGCACGGTCTACAGGTCCCATGGGTTCGTCAGGAACCAAGCACAAGCTGTCCACCGGACCCTGCGCCATCTGGAAGTGGCGCTGCCACAGCCTGGCCACGAGCCGTGAAGGCACGCACGATGATATGGGATCCATGCCCACCAGTCCGCTACACAATTATTCCGCTAGGAGCGCTGCTGTCCAGGGCAAAGGCGAGCCAAACAGCATTGAGAGACAGTACATTTTACAGCCTCGCGTCATGATTTTTGTTCAATGAAATATATTTTGCTCATACTGTGACCATTAATTGACGGAAATCTAAATGCAATTAAAACTCACAGAATTACTGTGTCTTTGGACTTCTTCCATCGCCCGGTATTCTAGAAAA